GTTGTTGGAAGAAAAAAGAAGAGGGGGGGGGGGGGGGGGGGGGGAAGGCAGGAATTTCTTTGAATGGTCCCCTTTCTAAAATACACGCTTCACAGGAAGTGCCCACCTCCAATTTCCCCAGCATAAGAGGAAGGGGACATAAAAATTACATTCCATAAAGATTTCAGCTCTCTTCTGGTTTTCAGTTCCTCCATGCCAAATTTAATTTCCTGCAGGGTTATAACCATGCTCAGGCTTGCTTTAGTTTATTCCTTCTGCTAAACGGGGTAATGGAAGAGTCTCCCTGGTCCTTCTGAGGAAAGGAATATACATGAGTTAATGGGCGATGCTTGTGATAGACATGACATGGGAGCTGATGCAGTTTGAAACACTTCCTCTCCTTGTGATGTGTGTGACTTTTTTTTAATTTTTACTTTTTATGCTCTGCGTGGGTGGACAGGTATCTGTAAAGTCAGTTCTCTTCTCTCCTGCAGGGTGGATACGCAGCCTACAGATATGCACAGCCTGCTACTGCAACAGCAGCCACGGCCGCTGCAGCCGCTGCAGCAGCTTACAGCGATGGGTATGTAAGGGGGAGGTGTCCATGGGGGCTAGCTTGCTGTGCTCAGGGATTCAAGGAGCATCGATCCATTACAGTACTTCTACTTCTTTCCCTGTTTCTTTGTCTTACTTGCACTCGCACACGCACACATGCATGCACAACCCAACATGAAAGACTTGAATGCACGGTTTGTCTCTCTGCTCCTGGGCAGTATTGCCCTCCGGTGTATGTGAGCTGGCACAAATCCTGGCCTCTTCCCTATCCTTGTGATTCTTTGCACAAAGGAGGCAGTGTGGTTATGGCCTCGGACTCAAAAGACCTGGCTTGCCTTGCCAGCTCCTTGCTCTGTGGCTCTGGGCAGGTTATTTAATCACTGGGTGCATTTCTCTCCCCATCCATAAAGTAAAAATTGCTCAGCTCATACAGTACTCCAGGATGCTTTAACGTGCAGCTCTGTATAGATACAAAGGATTATCATCGTCAGAGTGCTTGCCTTAAGATTTTTCATCTCCTGTGCAGTGAGGCCATGTTTTAATCCTAGTGCATGCGAGACCATTAAAGTTTATACTCCCTTCTCGTTCTGGAGAATCCCTCACTGCTTTCCATTTAGCAGCTGTTACTGTGCCAGTAGTGCTAGCGCCAGCAATCACTCTCCTCCCAAATTGCATCACGCGAGGTAAGGGATGCACTAGCTGTCATTTCAAAGGTGCTGACCTCTTTCCTACAGGTCGAACTCACGGCTTCTGCCACATTCCTCCTTGCAGGCCATTCTCTCGCCCATCTCATATGATGCATGGCAGCATGCCCATAGGATCTCTTCAAAGAAGGGCTGCCTGCGTGCATGTGTGCATGTATGCATACATGTGTGTAGAAGGGCATGCTGCTTCTTCTATTGCCTGTGGTCAGACAGCTGTTTCTCTGCCCCTCCGAAGTGACTTTTTTTTTTCTCTTTTTTTTTTTTTTCTTTTATATATCTTTTCTCCTTCTCTTCAGTTATGGCAGGGTGTACACAGCAGATCCTTACCATGCCCTTGCCCCTGCCGCTAGCTACGGAGTTGGCGCTGTGGTAAGTGGGATTTTCTTTCTTGTGCTGTTTCTCTTTTCCAGCATGGGGAACAGCTGTTCACTGGGTATCAGGTAATGAAACTTCACCTAGAAATACTTTGTTGTTGAGGAGGTCCTTAGCTGCAGTGCCGGGTTCCTAGTAGTTCTCCATTCATATGTTTGTGTGTGTGCACTAGGAAAGGAGCCAGGTTGTAGGAGACCAGTTATCACTTGGTCTTGCACATCACCTAGTGAAAGGAGATGGTAGAAGAATGACCAGAAATGTCAGGAGCCAGAACATTGTTGGTGAATCGGTAGAACTGTAACTCAAGTTGCGCCAGGAGAGGTTTAGATTGGACGTGAGGAAAAATTTCTTTACTGAAAGAGTGGTTAAACATTGGAACAGGCTGCCCAGGGAAGTGGTTGAGTCCCCATCCCTGGAAGTATTTAAAAGACATGTAGATGCGGTGCTTAGGGACATGGTTTAGTGGACATGGTGGTGTTGGGTTGACAGTTGGACTCGATCTTAGAGGTCTTTTCCAACCTTAATGATTCTATGATTCTAAGGTGATATATAGAGCAAAAATCAGCAATAGTTAGAGATGCGAGACACCCTTTCTTGCCATTTTCATAAACTTTAAAGGCTCGTGTTGCATGTTGGGAAATCAGTTTTAGGAAGCAAGGGAATAAGTTGTTCTCATGACATCTTGCAGCAAAGCTGCTCCACTTGGTTCCCTCTTCCACTAGTGGATGTGGTGTCCTGCCTGCCTGCAGTAATTATGCAAAGGCAGGAGTGAGGTATGCTGGCATCAGAGGGGCGTGGAGCAGCTTGCTGAAAACACATGCTTGCCCATCTGCTTCTAGCCAGCACAGTATCTGTGTTGTTGCAAAGGCTGGAATACAAATGTGTTCAGAGAAAAAGACACCTAAATATAGATATCTGCAGTGTAGCGCCTCCGTTTGAGCCTCAGCTCATCATGTGGATTCTCTTCAGGGTCAATGAAGGAAAAGCAGGTACTTCTAGGATACCAGGTCATCGTGTCTATTTTAGACCTTCACCTTAAGGTGAGGTGAAGAGCATCCTAGAAGTTCTGGTCTCTGCTATCTATAAAGACAGCCTAGACAACTGGCTCAGAGATTAGGACTCATGAGTCCCATCTCTGGTACTGAACTCCCTTTGACCGAGACTTGCTAAACTTCACCTCCAGCTGGCTGGTCGTGAGCATGTCCTCCTGAGCCATGTCTTTGGTTTTGCAGGCAAGGTTCTCCTCTTAGAGGTGCTAATGGTGACGGGTCAGTGCCAGGACGTGTCCGTTAGTCCTTCTGAGAGCATTCGGGTGCTGTCCTGACTATTTTTTCACAGTTCACCTCCTAACAACCTCTTCTTCTCTCATTTAATTTCTACAGGCGAGTTTATACCGAGGTGGCTACAGCCGATTTGCCCCCTACTGAAGTGACGTGAGCCCCCTGCAAGTGGGACAGCCCCCCCAGTTCATGAGGCCTGGCTATTGCAATATTTACTAGTAGAGGAACTCTATAGCAAGACGAGGAGGAAAAACAAAAAACAAAAGAGAAAATACTTTTTTATACCTCACTATGTTCTTTGAATATGTATTTTTTTTTTCCTTTAAATTTCTGCCTTTAATTCTTTTGTTCCAAAGATTGTGCATTTTTTTGTTTTTGTTTTTGGGGTTTTTTTTAACTGTGGTAAAAATAATGCATTTCCGTGTCTGTATGTTGGTGCATAGCTTATCCTACCAATCACGGAAAAGGCGATTAGCGATAAGGAAAGCTGTTAGAAACCGATATCATGCAGTTAATCAGGAACACGCAGAGTTACTTCCCTGGTCTGGTGCTTGGTGCCTGTGAGACAGGAGGACGTGAGGGAGAAGTCTCCACCTGCCGTGTTTCTGGTCTGCAGAAGGAAGCACTCTTGCTGTGGCTGGGACCTTGATGCTGGTGGGAAGTAGTCATTTACATTCGAAAATGGGGGAAATGCAGAGACTTTCCTCGTTTTTGTCACCATCTGATGCACACAGGTTTGGAACAGTTTCAGCAGTGTCAGGATTTTAGATTTGGCAAGAGAAGATTTCCTCAACCTGCCCAAAGACTTTGGCTGTTATCTGCTGTATAGGGGACAAGACTTTGAAAAGAGTTTTTGATGAGGATGATCTTTCCCCACCCCACACAACTTATCCTAGCTGATTGTTGTCCATTGCTGGTGGCTGTAATTACCTTAGTTTTCCTTCCTCCTTTTCAAGATCTTTCTCCCTTGCTGTCCCTTTCCTCCCCTTCTTTCCTCGAGGAGTGGCAGATGCAGTGCAGCATCACACAGAGTACCTCTGTTGCGGACAGCAAGCGGTTAAACTTGCGGAGGTGAAGCGCATGCAGCCTTGCAGAGGAAGAAAGCTAGCAGAAGAACCGTGCATCAGTGCCATGCTCAGGTGCTCCAAGGTCCAGCGTGCAAGGTCTCTCCTGCTCATCCTGAGCTGCTGAGGCGCTTCTGCAAGTAATCTGTTTCAAATAACATGAGTGAGGAAAAACAAGTCATGTATAAGCTGCTTGAGGCGAGGGGCAAGGATGTGGATTTGTGTGGGGGAAGAGGGTCTTCTATATCTAAACGTGATCCTGAAGTAGTTTTGTTTCGGTCAGGAGCTTTAAGGGGAGGCAGAAGCAGTTTGTGCAAGCTCTGAATTCATAGGAACTTCCCACCATAAGCTATTTCAGGCCTTTACATAGTTGTGTTGGAGCCCCTGGGTCTTTCTTGCCCAGCCTCTCATAGAAAGTTGTGCACCTGATCTGCTGAGTCCATATAGACACTACATATTAGAAGATTTGGAAGCAGAGAGACTATTTAGGGGAGGGCTCCATGACTCCCAACACCATCTCCCTTCTGCTCTCACATACAGTGATTTCACTGTGTTTCAAAGTCAGCATTTTTAGATGACTGCGTGAGCTGTGGTGGGGAGTTGCTGCTCTCCAGACCTCCCTGCTCAGCTGCTGGCTCCTAGAGTGCTCCCAGTAACCCCAGTGATCAGAGGCAGGGTCTCTAACCACATGTTAGAGAAATGCAGAAGCGTGGTTTTATTAGGCTGCCTCAACTCCCTCGATTTGGTACTGGGGTGAGCTCACCGCCCCCAGAAGGGCTGCTTGGAGTGTGGGTTTGTTGGTGGAGCCTTTCCCACTCCTGTCGTACACCTGCTTCTCCATCCACCACTGATACCAGAATAGGAAACCTCCTGCATTTAAACACTAAACGATGTCAACAAGCAGAGCTCCCAGGGAGGTGTCCTGGCCCAGCCACGCACAACCACGCATTTTTTTCGCTCTTCCCCAGCGATACACGTAGCCTCTTTGTGCGCAGCAGAGAGGAGGCACCTCAAATGGGAAGAATGGGGAAGCCATTAGTTAAGCTAGAGACCGTGAAGCTATTGATTCTCTGGAGGAATAGCTAGATAAAGGGGACACCAAACTGCCAGCCTGTTGGCCACCTTTTTTTTTTTTCCTGGTTTTATTGTTGGTTTTTAACTTTTTTTTTCCCAAGCCAAAGTTTGGTTTGTTGCTGTTATGACAATTTTTGTTGTTTGTATATAACTATTTTAGTTAGCTTGAGAATGGGGAGGGGGGAACAGGGTGGGGCTTTCACAAAATCTAGGAAATGAGGGGGACTTGAGGTGTTTGGGGGCTTTTACTGTCTGAGTTGGGGTAGGGGAGGGAGAACTTGTGGTAGAAATAGTCATATTCAAGGGGAGCCATTTCCACTGCAGGGCATCCAGGGGACTTCCCGAGCTGAGATGCAGCAAAAGCCTCTACTGGACTTGTTCTACCCACCTGTGGGGCGGAGAGGCTGAGTGAGGCCGTCCCTTCCCTTGCCTGCAGGCTGCGAGCGAGAGGAGCGCAGCTTGCAGAGCCCGGCAGGGGCAGTTGCTCGTCCCTCTGCCCCTTTCCTACGTTTCAGTTCAGCTGGTTCTGACTGCAGCTCCTGAAAAGCTGGGTTCTCCCTCCCCGAGTGCCCTCCCCTGCCCTGGCAGTGCTGCCTGCAATCCCCCCCTGCCACTTGGCCTCTCTGGGAGTAGGGAGGCCAGCCCCATTTCTGCCTCCGAGCAGAGTCTATGCATGGCAGCTTCAGCCCGCCCAAGTATATTAGGAGTGTGAGGGGCTTAGTGCAGAAGCGCCCAACCTTTGCAGGTCCATGGTCCCCTGCTGTATGATCTCCGAGTAATACCTGCTCTAGACCATCCAGCCTGATTCCTCCTGTATCCAAGCCTGACCTGCTCCGGTCGCTCCCTGCCAGGCTCCTCTGGTGCATTAACCAGCCGGCGTCTCCTCGACTCCGTAGTTGACACTGCAGGATCCCTGCTGAGGCAGCTCACTGATAGAGAGGCTTCCTGCTCTCAGCAGTGAGCTGCAGAGGGGACGCCGGGACGCTTGCTCAGCTGGGGGCCGGAGGTAGCTCGCTGGTTCCAGGTCTCTGGAGCACCAGGCCTCCCAAAAGCTTGCACGCCGGCTGGAATTTTGCAGCAAGGTTTCTTGAGTGAGTGTTGTGCCGTGGCGGGAGAGCTCTTCAGCCTTTCTTCCCTCTTGGCAAACAACAGCTCTGGTTTCACTCAGATGTGTTATGAACTGGCTTGAGATGCATTCAGAGTAGCCAAGTTGTGGCTATATCCATCTTCTGAAGAAGTGAGGACAAAGCCTATATCTCCCTATGCAAAATGAATTACACTTAATGAATTAAACTGGGCCCTGGCTTATTTGACTGATGGCAGCCAGTGCTTGTCCCCGAGATGGGTCTGCAGTCACAGGTCCTTCACAAAGCAGGGCTTGGCTTTCCGAGGGAAACCGCACAGGCAGCCTGGCAAATAGCTTGCTGTTTGTCACCTTCCAGTCTGGTGGCATGCGGGATTCCTCTTGATGCAGAGGAAAAGATGTTTCTTTAAGTGTTGCTGTTTGTACTGTCTTGCAATAGGTCTGGCCAGCACGTGATATTATACTGATAAAATTTTGGATTGAAGAGTTGATTTATTTAATGTGCTGGTCTGTCTTTCCTTGTGGGTACAGTTGTGCTGGTACAAAGATGACTTCTGCTGGTATAGTATATTCTCTACTGGGAATAAGTTATATTGATGCCCAGCATGTTGACAAACTGTTGTCACTGTCGCCGTGCTAGGGAAGCTGCACTGTTGTAGGTGGGTTAGCTTTTCTAAGAAAAGCCATGAATGGGACCTGGAGACAACTGGGAGCTCGGTATGAGCCTGCTATAGCCAGCTTTTCCCAGATTAAGCGATCCTGTGTCATGAGTTCGGATAGACAAAGCCATGTTTTAAAATAGCTGTGGCTTGGCTGTTTCAGTGCCCGAGAGAGAGCAGACTTGCCCAGCGAGAAAGAGCGCTAGCTCAGGAGTCGGAGACCTGTCTTTTGGGCAGGGCTCTGTCAGTGATCCTCAAGGGTCATCGTGGAGCAGTCGTGTCGCTACTCTAGACTTCACTTCCCCGTCCCTAAAGTGAAGTGAAAGTTTATCCCCTGTTCTCGCCCATTTTGAGATCTGTGGATGTGAAGTGCACAGCAAGAGCTGAGGAGGGTTATCTGAATAGCTGGCTCAAATGCTAGTTGTGAAACGGTTAACGAAACCAGTTCCTTGCCCGAAAAGAGATGCTGGCTGCTGGGGTTTCAGTTCCAGCACCCAGAGCTTCCGTAGCAGGGAATGCAAAGCAGAGCCTCCTAGTTCCTACCCATGTTTTTCCCCAACCCAGCCCTATCTGTATCTTCCCATCCTGGCCCTGAAGAAGGAGGCAAGTGGAGAACAGGTTTGGGGAGCACTTAGGAATTCAATAAAGGGAAACCCAAACAACGGCTCTGGGGAGCGCTTTTGCTGAGTCTAGCTCCAAAGGGAAAGCACGTGGGCAGCCTGGCAGACGGCCTGCTGCCTGTGACCCTCCAGCCTGGCAGGGTCGGGGGAATGCTGTCCTTGGTGCAGAGGGGTGATTTTTAAAGTACGTTACCTGTTTGCACTGTTTTAAAATAGGAGGGGGGAAAACAAAAACCCCAACCTAGTGAACAAGATGAACATCCAATGTAAACTTCTTTGTGTTTTTATTTTGTCATGCTCTTGGAAAATGTCAAACATTTTGTAGTATACACCAGTGAGACTTGATTCTTTGTTGCATAAAACACTATTTTTGGTGATGTTAATGTCTGAAAAGCCCCTTCCCTCCACCCCCACCTTACCGATTGCCCTCTCTGCCCTCCAACCCCGGTAAACTTCTCTTCTACAATGGAAACTCCAGTCAACAAGGCAAGCAGGAGCCTGATAGCCAGAGCGTGAAATGGGGCCCTTTTCAAGTAGGCTCTGGGGTTTTTCCCTGGTACGCTTTTGCTCTAGCCAGGAGTTGGCAGGATAGCCCCTGTCCCTCTGCAGCACGTGCATCAATGGCAGCCTAAACGGGACCGATTGCCGATTGCCCTCTCTGCCCTCCGTAAACTTCTCTTCTACAATGGAAACTCCAGTCAACAAGGCAAGCAGGAGCCTGATAGCCAGAGGTGAAATGGGTCTACAATGGAAACTCCAGTCAACAAGGCAAGCAGGAGCCTGATAGCCAGAGCGTGAAATGGGGCCCTTTTCAAGTAGGCTCTGGGGTTTTTCCCTGGTACGCTTTGCTCTAGCCAGGAGTTGGCAGGATAGCCCCTGTCCCTCTGCAGCACGTGCATCAATGGCAGCCTAAACGGGACTTTGGATGTCCAAGTCCCATCTCCGTTGCCACTGCTAACCCTGGAAGGCAACTTCTTGCTGGTAGTTGAAAGTGCTGCCAGCGGTTGTCCTCTCTGGGTAGCGGGCTGCAGCTGGTCCAGGCTTGTGCAGGAGACAAGCTTCCCACGCTGCCTCTCGACTCGTGGTAGAGCAAGAATGCATCAGCCAAAAATCTTGCCTGATTTCGCCAGGAGATTGCTGGTGTCTAAAGCCGTCCACCCGAATATTCATTTGGCTGGCAGTCAGCAAAATGCCAGTTAATCTTGGGAATGGTTTTTCTTTTTTTTTTTTTTTTTTTTTTTTTTTTATTCTGAAGTGGGTCAATAAATCTCTTGCCAGATTCCCAGTTCTCTGCTGGTGGAGGGGCTTGTTGCTTCCCTGAGGAGTGAATTCCTTACAGAAATCGGGCCTCCCACATTAGTAGTCTCAGTTTTGGTCATGTTTTTCTATTTTTTTTTCTGTTCACAGTATTTTGTGTGTACGCGCGTGTTGTAGTTTTGGCAGCTTGATTTGGCTGCATTATCAAGTGACGAAATAATCCTCTTTTACCCCAGGGGATATGATTTGGTTTTGGTTTTTTCTTTTTTTTTTTTTTTTTTTTTTTCCAATATGATAAATCCTGCTTGTAAATAGCTGGAGCTAAAACCTGGGGCTGATAGCAAATGAGAACCAGGGCTGTAGAGCGATACGGAGCTGGTGGAGTATTTTACTGACCTCACAGGCTGATCTACTTGAGACTTGGAGATTTTCAGTGCAAGGCTGAGATGCCGCAGCACCTCCAATGGCAGCGACGGACTTGCCCCTTCACGCGGTCTCCCCAGCACCTCCCATTGCCAGGTACCACTGGGGAACAGGACATGTCCCGAGTGGGATGCGTTCCCTTCCCCTGGATCATTTCCTAGGACGCCCGAGCCGCTTGCCCAGGGTCCCATTTCCCTGCTGACTCTGGAGAAGCAGTATCTGCATCCCAGGGCTTCGTGACAGCCTCTAACTTCCCGCCCTCCCTCGTTAAGTATCATATTGTATAGTAGCTTTCAGACCATACAGTATTCATTGGGTTATTCCTATTATTATCAAGTAGCTGGAATTGTGAAGGTCGGAGTAGTTAGATCTTTAGCTTTTATTCCTTTTTTTTGTATTACTATCCATGTGTATAAATTATTGATCATGTTGCTGGCTTTTATAAACTCTAAGCAAGGGGGGAAACCCTTCCTAACCCTTTGCAAATGGTAATGAAGCACTGTTTTTAAATAAAAGAGAGAAACACCAGTCTGCTGTCTCCTGTGTGTTGTCTGTTTTTCAGTGCATCTGGATGAATTTCGTTGGTCCATCTCCCTGGCAGGTAAAACGCAAAGAAGGGAAGATGGTTTGAAGAATGAGCTGGGAGAGAGGATCTTCTTCACAGTGATAAAGGGCGAAGCCTTGGCAAATCACGCTGGCAAAATCCCAGCCCTGTCTGTTCATACATCGAGCTCTCCGTAACCCCACACCTTTCCCTGCCATCCTTTCCCGTTGCTGCTTAATAGCAGAAAAGGGCCCTTTGTTTGGCATTTGATAGGGAGCCTTCCCCCCCCCCTCCTGCTTCTCTCCAAGCCTAATCTGTGTTTGAACCTGTTAGTGTGGAAGGAGAGACAACCATTTCAAATTACGGTATCAGCATTTTCTTTAACGCCTGTGTAGCCAACCTCCCGCTGTCTGTGTTAGCACAGGTTTAATAGTTAACACACACAACTGGAAGCCGGTGTTCCTGTGCTCGGCATACATTTCCTCTGGGAGTTTGGACATGTCTTTTAATCACTGCCTCTGTTGTCCTGCCTATAAAAGGAGTATCACTGCAGACAAGCAGAAATTCATTGATATTCTATGAAGTGCTTAGAGATCCTCAAGTGAAAGATGTCATGCAAATATATATCCATATAATCGGATGCCTTTTCTGCTGAAATGATCCTAAAAATAACAAATAATAAATCCCTGTGGCCAATTTGCAAGTGATTACGGAAACTGATAACTCACCAAAACGGTACAACGAAATATGCCTAGTACAGTTGAGGCCAGCGCAGGATTTTCATATGGCTTTTGGAAATGCAAAGTACCAGAAACAAAAGGGGTGGGATAAGGTGTGTCCCCGGATGGCAGGATTGTCGATAATGATGCAGGAAGGCACGTGAGCTCCTTAAGCGTTCCTCCCCAGTATTTACCAAGGAGCTGCAATGCGCTCCTGTCAGATGATCCTCATTTCATTCTAACAATAACTTGAGAGGATGTTCAACAGTAGCTGCCAAAATTAGATGCCTGGAAATCAGGGCTGAATAATTGTGGAAGAGCTGGTTAAAGGACTCTGGATCGGTGAGACTGGGAGAGGTCTCGAAACGAAGCTCTGCTGAGCTGGGAGAAAGGTAGTGCAGAGGCAGCTCCGAAAGTGAAGCAAAGATGCCCTAGGTCTTCCAGCCTACCTTCGTTTCAAGGCAGAGCCATAAAATGGCTGATACTGGAATTCACTAGTAAGTCATTAAAAGTGTTACAATATTGCATTGCCCAACAGGGGTTTGTCAAAAGCTGGTCAAAGGAAGCTGATACAGGTTCTTCGAATGGACTGCAAGTTGGCTAAGGAAGCGAGTGCCGCTGATTTAAAACATTCCCCTTCTATAAGCTGTAAATAATTACAATAAATAATAGACAAATCATGTGAGTCAGTCCTAGCTGATCGCAAGCCACTGCGCATTTCAGCACGTGTAGGTCGCACCCACTGAGAGAGAGGCCACCACTTGTCACGTCAGGAAGTAGCTTGGAAGAGGGTTTGGTAACAACCTGGACGTGGGCTCTGGGCCACGGGGCTTGGTGCCAGCCCGAGGTCCACCAAAGGCGGTCGCTGAGCGCGAATCCCTGTGCCGCGTGGCTGTGTTTGGCAGCTGTGTGGTGGGGATTTAGTCAAAAAATGATAAATGCTTGCTGGAAAGCGTTGTTTGGATCATGTTGAAATAATTTATGAATTCAGATTGAATCTGCAGAACTCCTCAAGGGGCGAGGCTAGTGTGACTGCTAAGGCGGTGTCTTCGTCTGGCACTGACAAACTGCGTCAGGAGATTTGAGCCCGAAAGCCCAGGAAGAAGCCCTGATCCCTGTGCCAGTGGCGGGGCTGACCTGTTCTCGGGGTTTTGCTGCTGTCCTGCTGTTGACTATACTGGCTCAGGGATGGTAGCCTGAGCATCCCTCTGATAGGGGAGCTTAGCAGCTGATGTGGGAGGGAGGGTTATTTGCATGCTTCCTTTCTGTCTATACAAAAATGACAAAAGTCGTAGAATAATTCGGGTTGGAAGAGATGTGTGGCGGTAATCTAGTCCTATAACTTGCTCAAAGGTCAGTCAAGTTGTTTATGTAGCTGTAGCATCTTCAGCACGAGCTTGGAGGTGAAATGCATTCTGGAATGCCAACAACTTGAACACGTCCTGGGAGGTGAGAGGTGACCCGTGGCCTCCTGTGCTCGTCCACAGCCCTGTTTCCTTCCCTGCACAGGCTGGGGTTGGTTGTCACTTGCAGCCGTTTTGCTGGGGTGTGGAGAAGAAAAAGTGCAATGCACTTAACTTTGATTCAGACAAGATGTATTTTTTGTGGTTGCTCTGTTTGCCTGAAGCGTGATCATTTCTGGCATAGCACGTCTGGCGCTGGCTCCTGCGGCTCCAGCTGAGCTGGGAGCGGTTCAGCGAAGAGCTTCCAGCGTGGTTCGAGGGCTGGAGCTGGGGGGGGGAGAGAGGGGAAACAGGGAAAAGACTGCAAGAGCTCATCTGTTTATTTGTCAAGAAGAAGGACAATTAATTGCTTTCTAGAAGCACCTTGCAAGGAACAAAGATCTGACTTTTCTAGGGCTTTTCTACCTGGCAGCATTGTAACACACTCCAGCGCTTGGGAAGTGAAGCCAGACAACTCCAGCCTTACCTGTGGGTTAAGGGACTTGCTGCAATTAGTTATTTCTGAAGCATTTCTAAATATCAAATCCTAATCCAGGAGCTTCCAGTGACTCGCGCTGGCCAGCCCTATTGCTAACCTCATTGGGGATGAACCGTCTACTGTGCTCCCTGTTCACCCCGGGCTCACACCGACCCATCAGCGACAGCCCAAAACTGTAACCCTTGGGTGCTGCTCCTCTTCCCTCGCTGGCTGATGGAGACAGCCCCACAAACCAAGTCCTCACCCACAGGGCCAGCCCGAGCGTGCTGCAACCGGCACGCCCTCATCTCTTCTCCTGCAGCAGAGGTGAAGGCTCCCGGCCTGTGTGAGCCCTATGACTGGGGAAACAAGGAGGGTACTGAAGTCAAAACCAGAGGATTTTTGTTTCTGGGAAGAGGCGGACTACTTCTGCAGGTCTCCGAAGGTGGAGCAGGAACCGTTTGGCTCCCGAGGTGCCGTGGCCACCAGCCCATGACCAGACTCCACGAGTCAGCCTTCTCGCTTGGAGAAGCCTCGCCGCGTTTGGCTCCTTTCCCGCTGCAGCGCACCGATGCCGGGAGCCCCCGCGCGCACCGGGGAGGGGACGTGCAGAGCCGGCACCAGCAGCAGCTGTCCCAGTTTGCGGAAACTTTCTTGCCTTTTTAAGGGCATGCCGAGTGCTGTGCTCTAACTTTAGCACAAAGGTATGGTTGACTTGGCTTCTTTTATTAATGGATGGGTATAAATATATCTGTTCTCGGTGCTTGTCTTGTTCTTCCATGTGTAAACACTGAGCTCCATCCCAGCTCCTTTTGATGATAAATTCCTCATCTTTTGAATCACAAATCACCTTTTTGTGTGTCAGGAGGAAGCATCAATGCCCAAAGTCACTTTGCTTTTTATAGCACCAGCGCTCTCCAACTGAACTCCGCTCAGAAATCACTGATTTCACGGAGCTCTGCAACAGCAGCAGATCTGGCGTGTTTACAGTTTTATTGAAATAGCCTTTGAGCTCATCTGGAGCCCTCCTGCCACAGGGCGCTGCAGTCCTCTCTTATTTTTGCAAGGATGTCGCCCGTCCTCCCTGGCGGGAGGCTGGGAAACCTCGCTTTGCGTTTGAAACACCAGGGCTTTTCTTTTTCGGTCAGTGCATCCCAGTTCTGCTGCCTCTGCTCCAAGAGAAGCTGCTCTCCAGAAATAGTTCCTGCTTTTGGCTGATCGCAGCTCGTGTGGGCGAGATGCCGCTGGCTGTCCCCACGCTTTCACTGAGCACGGAAGCAGGTCTCCCCCCAGCGAAGGGTGGCCGCAGATGCCGGTGCCCTGAGCGCGGGAGGCTGGGGAGGGCTTTCTGCTCACCCTGGCGTGAACATGGGCAGGCACCAGGGTGAGCTGCTTGCTCCGCCATCCCGCTTGGCTGCGGGGCTTGGGGGGTGAGAAAGGAAAAGGGAAAACCAGCGCCATCCTGTGCAAAGCTTTGTGCAGGTGGTAGGAAGCTCCACGCCTGCGTCGTGGGGGGCTGAATAAAAAATTTTGGGGAAAATGAAAAATTCAGTGTCAGGAAAAAGCTGCTGGCCACTGAGCTTGCACGCTTGCCTTGGGGGGGTGAGGGCTGAGCTGGCTGCAGGGCTGTGACCCTGGGATAACACTCTTATTTCTCCTCCGCAGACCAGGGATGGGGTTCGTGGTGCGGGAGCGGATCTGACCCACCCTCACTTGCCATTAATGCTACAGCATGACTGGCACCGAGCCAAGAGCCGGTGCAGCCAGAGGTCCAGAGAGATGAGTCTAACACACTCCTCAGGGTCAAACTGGGTGAGACTCAGCCCTGAAGCAACGGAGATGACAGCTAGTGATGAAGCCGACTCATCCCTGGAACATCCAGGTCCTGCTGTGGTTGAGAGAGTTGTTAGCTCTGGGGGGGGAGGCGAGGCAGAGCCTGGCTCAGCAATTTGGGTCACTGGGTGGCTGTGCAAAACACCTCTTCAGCCCTGGGCTCTCACATAGCTTTGACTTGAAAGGAGCAGATACCTGAAGTAACTGCAGGGCTGAGTGAAACGTGCCATTCCCACAGGCTTGTTAGTGGCATTAAATACCTCTTGCAATATGGAGTCGGGACCTGTCAATAGCAGCACGAGTAAGTACCAGGGGCCTTTCTGCTGAGGGGCACAAATGCTAGTGAGTCGCCGGTCCCCGCCGTTATCAGTGAGCTGTGGGGCACAGTGAAACACTTCCTCAGTATCAGCCAGTGTCCTCACACAGAAACTGGGCAAAAAGCCCCGCACCTAGAGCTAAGGGAGCTTGCTCTGGTCGTCCCCCTGGGGAGCAGCGGGCAGGAGGCAGCTGTAA